TGCCCGCTCACCCTTGCTATAGTCCTGACAAATTTTATATTTCCTAGCAGTTTCTAAGCAATTGGGGCCTCTGAACTATGCGTTCAAGTGCTTTTTTCTTTTTATTATATACATAAACAGAAAAGAATGAAAAAAATTTCCATACATGGAGACAGTCAATGATAATTTTTGTCTTTTATTCAAGTTTTAAGTGAAATAGGGATCATCCTGTTTTTAATATTTTGATCTTTTTTTTTCTTTTTTCATTTCTCAGTAAATCTGGAAGAGCAAACCATTCTTCTCCTGATTCCCAACCCTCCTCTATTGCCTGGGAGAAGGAAGGCCCTCCATTAATAAATGAAATTCAGACATTTGGCCTGACTGTTAAGAAGCATTTAACTGAGATCCCCTACACCTCCACTCAAGGAGAATTCAATTGGCTCTAGCCCTTGTTAAATTAATTAAACAAGGCCCTTAGGCTGAGGTGTCTCTAATATCATGACAGCCTTTGTAAGCAAACCCAATCTCAGCTGTAAATGCCTCAAGATTAGGAGGCTGAAACCTAAGAACAACCAATTCCAAACAGCCAGTTAGACTTCAAGCTACAGCCAATCAAATAATTTCCTTAATTTGCTTGTATACCTTCTGTGTATGAGTCTTTCCCTGGCTCTTGTCCACAGAGTGCTTCTAACTATTTCCAGTTTGGAACTGCCAGATGGAATCAATTTTTGCTCAAATGAACTCTTAAAATTTTGTATGCCTCAGTTTATCCTTTAACACCCTGTAAATGAGACTCAGCAATGAACCCATTTCCTTATTCCTGGTAGGCCTGCCAGGCAAATTTGAGAGAGGATGAGGTAAGGATGCTCCCTGTAATAATGTAAAGTCCTAACTCCATTGGAAAAGAAGCAACCATGCAAATTATGGGAACAGTTAGGAGGATGTTCTTGTGGGAGCAAGGGTCCTTTTGGGGTTAGGCAAGCCAGTCACTAGGGGTGATTCTGTTGTGGAGGTGTGTTTGTTCCACAGTTACACTCTGGATTATCAAAAAAATAAGGGGCTTGCTAGTGAGGATCAGACTAGTGGGGAGATCTCTCCTGAGACCAAGCCACCCAAGCCCTAGCCTCTTGTGTGGATCTTGGACCACAGAGACCCCCATAGACAGAGTGGCCCTATCTTACTGGTGGTGGTATTCCAAACTGAATGACTGAGACTTAGGAAGGAAAACCCACTGGGAAGGTAACCAATTCTAGAATAAGACACCTTGTGGGCTGGGAGTGTGGGATTCTGGGAAGATGGACAGAGAAGATCCTGGTGATACTGTGCCGGAGAGTAACCATCCTGGGAACCACCAGGCACATTCAGGCACAGGATGGGAGCCTGTGGGGCTGAGCCTGCTGGATGACCTTCCTTCAGGTCTCAAGAGAGATTCTTGGGTCCCAGACCACAGCTGCTGAATCTGCTGTTTAAGTAGAGAGGTCTAGAAATCTGAATGTTTAACAATTAAAACAGAAATAAGCCACTTATGTTCCTCAAACTGAAATGCCTACTTTTTTAAATATTTCTACTCACTTACTGAAATCTGATTTTTGCCTACTGTTATGTTTTATTGCTGTCTTTTATCTCTCATCAATACCAACACTGGTATCACTGCATTTGCTATACAATTACTATACTAATCATACATTTTACTCTCTGACAGAGTAAATTTCTCTTCATTACTTCTCATGTAAGACTTTTTCCTATCTACTCCTGGCTACAATTCTCAGTGAATATTTAAGTTTTTTTTAGCAAGTTCTCCCAGACATCTCACTGAGATAGTGGTTACAATTACATTAAGTCTACTAATAAGTGGAAGAATCAACATCTTTCAGTCTTTCTCTCCAATGGGGACAATGGACTGTGTCTCACTTTATTCAGATTTACGAAACTTTTAGATTTTGTCTTAATAATCCTTACTGTTCTTATTAGAGCTGTTGCTAGATATTTTACTTTTGGTCACTGCTGTATCTGAGACCTTTTCCCATAGTGATTCTCAATTACTTAATGCTGAATCAAAAGGAAGCTATTGATTTTTGGATATTACTCTGAATACTGCCATTTTGTTGAGTTCTCTTATTTCAAACATGTTTTCCACTGATTTTTATTAAAGTCTAGTTAGATTATCATCATTCACAGCCAGTATGATTATCTGGAATCTTACCTCTCATAAGAAATGATTGTTTCTCCCTCATGTTAAATATTAAAGGTGATAATAATTGTTTGGGACATTTTTCTTAAGTGCATGGTTCTTCCTTAATTAGCAAAATATAATGTCAGTACTCAAGCTTTCCACCAAAGAACATAACTTTGACCTGGCTATTGTTTGACTATTATCCAAACAAGTAAAAGAAATGGTGCTTACAGTAGGTGGTTTGAAGGACATGAATCAATTCTCTAGTAGTTTAGATTTTATCCCTGGATCAAACTAGATTGTCCAGGAGCCACACTTGCACTATGCATTGTCCTGGCTCTGCAAAACTGCCTCTGCAGCGCTGTGCGCTGCCTTCCTCCCCTGACTTACATCAGGAATCATATAAAGTAACACAGTCATCTTAAAGGATTTTTCAAGGTCATTGCCATGTCATCACTTAGAAACTTAAATAAGAAAGAAAGACCTATAGAGACCTGTGATAGAAATGTCTTCAGTACCATAGTCCCAGAAGAAGCAGTTGGTGTGACTTGCTGCTGTTAGATCTCAAGGTCCCTGGTCCTCCAAATTACACAGTCTAAAGTGCTGTGGGGCTCACAGTTGTCCAGATGCATTCTGGTAGCAGACAGGTTGAATTAATTCATTGAAGTTCTGGGCTAAATATCTAAGCAGATAGAGTCATATTAAAACCAGGTTGTTCAGTAGGGAAATTGGAAACTAATCTCAGTGGGATTAGGTCAGTCAGGGGAAGGTCTCTCTGCCAGTGGAAAAGAACAGATATATGGTTCATTAGTAGAAGTCCATTTATATGATAATATAAAAGCTACATGCTTGTATACCTTGAATCTGAACTCTTCTCATTGAAAAGTGCTTTACAATTACAGTTTTGGCTCCTATGAAAGATTATGACTCAGAACAGCCATATGAAAACTGATCCTGAATTTATCATAGAAATAGTATGAAGAACATCATCATCCATCATTCGATGTCTCAAACTTAAGGTCTCTGATGAAAAATTCCATTCAGGAAATTAATTACAGGAAACCTTTGACTCCTTTTTCAAATTCCAGTATTTGCTGCCCTCAGGGAATGACACCTGGGTATGGACTTTCCCTTTCCTGCCCCACCGTCTTCAAAGTTGCTAAGAAGCTCACAACAAAATATATGAGCCCTTGGAGTTGACATATTATTCATTTTTAAGTTTCTAATTTCCCCTTACTAGTTTATTAGGCTTATCATTAATACTTCTTGTAGATCATTCTAAATCTTTTTGGAAAAAGGCCAGGTATGTATGGTATTTTGTTTGCTGTTATTAGATGGATGTTTTTAATGGTTCACATGAGGTTTATGACAGAGATGGGAGAGTCAGGGTAGGCACACGATGGAAGTGCTAGAGCACTCCTTCAATTAACTTAAGATAGGGATAGCAACTCAACTGGATAACTGGAGAAGCTAACCAGGTTCCTCATCAGGGGACTGGCAAATGCATGCCCCATCTAATGGAGGTAGATGCCACTCAGCCCCTAAGACTAGATAGGTTTCTTGAAGTAATGCAAACTGCTAGTAATGCAAAGATTGCCAGATTTTACAATATTTCAAGAAAAGCTAGACTTCAAGATTTTTGAGGGAATCCTGGTGTTTAAAATGTTGACAGTTAGCTCAAGTGCTTTAAAACACTCTGGACTAGCAGAAGATAGGATGCTGGCTGACAGGGAAAAAGGGGAGAAATGGGGAGTTGTTCAGTGGGTATAGAATTACAGTTAAACAGGGTGAAGTTTAGGGAGTTGCTGTACCTGTAGTTAACAGTACAGTACTGTGCACTTTAAAATTTGTTAAGAGATTAGATCACATGTTAAGTGCTCTTACCAACAACAAGAGAGGACACACAGGAAACTTCTGGAGGGGATGGGTATGTTTACTACCTTGATTGTGGTAATGATATCATGGGTATACACATGTCCAATCTCATCAAATTGTATACATTAAACATATGCAGTTGTTTGTGGCTGTGTTTGTGTGTGTGTATACACACAAAAACTCTGGATCAAGCCATTATCTGTAGCCCAGACCTGGGCTTTTAGGTTCTAAGACATTGGGGAGCAGGTATCAGAAAGCAAGTTACCAGGGAACAAAGAGGAACTTTGCCACAGGAAGCTGATGTCATAATGGCAATGAGGATCACATTGACCTAAACTTGAGTAAAGAAGCTCTTGGTCTGAGAAATGAGAGTTTTGAGTTCAGATTTTGGGAGCATGGATTAATAGAAAGAGGCCTGGACTTCAGACCTGGAAACATGCCACAGAGATCCATCCTGTGGAGATAGGCCCATGGAATGTCCGGCGACCTCCATGGCACTCCCCACATCAAGAAACTTAGAGGTACTGCTGAATCTCTCAAATTCTTTATTTCCAAAAGTATTTTATCAGAAACCCCAAAAGTATATGAGCATGTGAAAAGGAGTTTCCACCCAACTTTAAGCCATGCACTGCCACAGAAAAATTGTCTAAATTTCCAAATGTTGCCACTAACACTAAATGAGCTGCATTTTCAAAGGTGAGTAAAAAAAAAAGTCAAGATTGAAAAATAGGGTACAGCTGGCTATCCAATCTCTACCAAAGGAAATTCTAATCTCACACTTTCCTATCAACAAAAACATGGTCACAATGTGCTTCAGTGATATGGCTACATTTTGAAAGGGCAGGGTTAATATTCATAATTTGCACTCAGATGCCATTTGGACATACACTTTTGTTACACTTCATCTTTTTTTGTAAATAAAAATGACAAGCTATAAACAGCTGACTGTTGATAATGCTTTCAGAATACATGATTACTTTAATTCTGCAATGATTGCTTCAACTTTTTCCTTAAGGGCACCACAAATTTCACCCACCTTTTCTTCTTTTTTATAAAACTGAAAGGTTGGGATGCATATGATCTCAAGGTCTTTCACCAGCTCCTCGCAATCATCCACGTCTACCTCCAGGAACACCACATCCTCGTGCTTCACAGACAGGGAACGGAAAAGGGGCTTGATGGTCCCGCAAGGCCCACACCATGTGGCCGAGACATCCACGACCACCAGCTTCTCCCCAGCCTCCTTGAGCGCCAGTTCAAAGTCCTCCTTGCTCAGGATCACTTTTACCATGTCCACATCCAGGAGCTCCATTGCTTCTTCTGCCAGCTTTGGGATATTGTCTTCTATGGGCTGTACAGCTTCTTCTGAGGACTTGGGGGTGCCACCTTCTTTGGGCTGCATGGTTTCTTCCAATGACTTGGGGGTGTTGTTCCACTTAGGCAGAATGGTTTTTGCTGACACCTTAAGGATGTTGCCCAGCTTGGGCAGCACAGGTTTTGTTGAGGAACTGGGACTGTCCCCCTGCTTGGGTAGAATGGTTTTTGCCGGGGTGTCCTGCTTGGGCAACATGGTTTTGGCTGGGGACTTGGGGATGTCCCTCTGCTTTGGTGGGATAGCTTTTTCCGAGAAATTCAAGATGTTACTCTTCTTGGGCAGGATGGTTTTGGGGGCGCTGCCCTGCTTTGGCAGAATGGTTTTGGCTGGGAAATCGGGGATGTCAGCCTGCTTGAACAGGATGCTTTTTGCTGAGGAATTGGGGGTGCCATCCTGCTTGGGCAGTATGTTTTTTTCTGAGAAATTGAAGATGCCACCCTGCTTGGGCGGGATGGTTTGTGCTGAGGAATTGGAGATGTCACTACCCTGCTCAGGTGTGGTGATGTCCTTGGGCTGTAGGACTTCAGACTGTGCTGCAGGCGTGTGCTGCTCTGCAGGCGTGTGCTGTATGTTGCTGACCTCATGAGCAGAGGCCTTCTTCTGGGGGTGTGCTGGATCCAAGAGCTCTGGGACCCCAGGAGTCACATGGCTGGACATAACCTGTAATAATGGGCTTTCTGAACAAAAAAGTAAATAAATGAAAATGCAAAAGAAGAAACAAAAAAAATTCGATCATATACTCAAAGAAAGACCAGTGTCATTCTTAGAGCTCATGAATATAGTCTTTTGAATGATGTATTAATTTGAATAACCACTTTCAACAGAAGGCTAAGCAGCTTGTGATTATGTGTATCCTTTAGGTAGGCTTTTTTTTTTAACTACAACTTTCTCTGCTTAGTTTGACACTGCTGCCTGCTCCCTAAGCACACAGGTCCCTAAGGTGAGCTCTTCCCCCCTTACCGTTAGCACCAGCTCTACTTGTTTCTTCCTGTTTGTATGGCCTCACTTCCAGTTCTCCTGGGGCTCCAGCTTTATCACTTTCCATTTCCAGTTCCTTGTCGATATCCACTCCTACTTCACAGATGTCTTATAGTGGAGACGAGGCTGTACCCTCCAGCTTTTTTCAACCTCTCCAACCTAAATTCATAAAATGAGCAACAGCTTACATTCAGGCAGTACTTACAGCAGCTGCTTTTCCCTCTCTGTACTCACAACAGTCATATTGGAGAGTTTCATGACAGCCTTGGGTATGGTGGCCACGCTGTGCGTGAGGCTGGGCACACTACCTGGTGAGCAGTTGTGGGCATTATTTCCTCTGACACAACAAACCACTGAGGTAAGTGCCATTATGATCCCCACTTTACAAATGAGAAAATTGAGCCTTAGAGAAGTTATGTAACTCGCTCAAGGTCACAAAGCTAGCATGTAAGGCAGGTTCCAAGCCGGCATTCTGAATACTTCACTGTGCTGTGTGCGTTGCCAAGCGCTTGTTCAGGAAGGTAACCAGATGCTGCTTTCCTACAGTCTCCCTCTAGGATCCTCCAGCTCCTGCTTTCTCTTCAGGACTCACCCACCTAACCACACACTAAGTGTCTCCTCCTAACCACATCACCCTCCACCACAAAGCTCTGCTGAACTGTCAAATGTCCTGTTCAAGCTATTTGGAAGGGAGTAAGTAGCCTGTGACCCAGAGAAATTTCCTGAGAAGAAGTGAAATATCACCACTTCCATCCCAGTAGATGAGGAAACCAAGAGGACAGGTACATGCACCCTGGCCGTCCCTCTCCTTCTGAAATCTGAGTGTTGACGCAGATTCGATGCGTTCAGAGGAAAGCCGAAAGCAGACGAGTATTTGCTTCACGCTCCGGCTGGAAGGCCACATCGCATGTACTTCTCATCAGCACTGCAGCATGGGCCCCTGGCCAAGGGCGTGACCTGATGCTTGGGCCTGGGACAGGCTCTGGGCCCCACAGCCTGCTGCACCATGCCAGGGATCCGGAAGTCCTGCACACCCTGGAGCAGGGCTGTAAGACCAGCTAGTCAGCAGCCAGCTCCAGGAAGAACAAAGAAGCCTCTGTCGGGGGAGATTCTCAACACTAGTAGGTAACAGCACCTGCCCCAGCCCCTTGATGGGATCAGTGGTTCTCAAGAGTGCTCAGTCTAGGGACCAGGCTAACCACCCACTTCACATGGGAAACCAGTGAAAGGCAGAGGGCCCACCCCAACTAATCACCACGGTCCTGTGCACCCAGAGATTATGGAGAAAGGGGAGGAATTGGAAAGACTGAGCTGGTACCAGAATGGACAAGTGTTCTTTAGGCTGAAATTCCACAGAGGCTGTTTTAATTCCATGTCCCTGCTCCTCAGCATAGTTCCCCAAATCCCTTTGAGATAAGACTTAAGGGGAAAGAGTAAATCCGTTATAGAACAATTTTAAAGCCGCATTACATCTTCACATCTTAGCAAAAGTGAGGAGTTGGTGACCCCATTACATTTATACTTGGAGACCTGGGTTGTGTTCTAGATTTGGCAGAGTTGTTCCAATTATTTCTACTCTTCATTCTACAGTTCAGATGGATTCCAAGCAACTTGAAATGTTGACACCTCTGAACAATTTTCATTCAACATGTCATAAGATGTATTTTTCTCTTCAGCACAAATTCATAATTGCTCATGAACCCTTATGCAGTCATGGTTCTGTCAGGGCAACAGTCATCTTTTTGAGGCACAGAAAGATTTATCTAGTTAAAAAAAATAGCTGGAAAGGCTGCCTTTGGGCGATATGTCCATAGATGATTCCTAGAAAAATAAACAACACAGAACTGGCCTGCCAGGGAAGCTGTGACCACCATGGTATCAGGAAGGTAGGGAATTGGAAAGTACTGCAAAAGCTGTTGATTTCGAAGACTTTGTGCAATAGCTGACACCCAGCTGAGAGCTCACACCTGAAAGATGATGGTTTCCTTCCCATGCCAGCTCATCTATTGGTAGAATCTAATTTGCATCCAGAACCTCAGCTGCAAGGGAGTCAAGAAAATGTGATCTTTAGAGAAGTTGGATAAACACTGAGTTCATTTCTACCCCATGCGTACAATGACAACATGATGGTCTCGTTTTTTTAATACATTATGCTGGCGTAATTTTTTGGTTTTATAATTAGAAGAATAGCGATTCTTCAGTCCTTTACTGAAAGTTTGCTGACCCCTGCTACAGGTGAACATGTTTTGACATGGGAAATAGTCAAAATATTCTTAAGTGAAACAGATTATAAAATAATATCTTTTGGAAAATTATCTCCTTTGAAAATATCTACATAGAAGAAAACAAAGGATACACATCACAATATTAATAGTGGTAATTCCTGAAGAATAGCACCGGGACTAATTTTTATTTTTTTACTTACCTGTGTTACCTAATTTTCCTATTATGAATACATATTATTTTTATAATTATAAAACCAAAAAGTATGACAGCATAATGTATTAAAAAACCAGACTGTCATGTTGTCATTGTAAGCTTGGGGTAGAAATGGGCTCAGTGTTTATTCCAACTTCTCAGGTGCTTCCCTGCTCTGCATAGATACTGTAGAGGAAGTTAGTACTACAGATGAGGTCACACTGAAGTAAGGTAGACCCCTAATCCAACAGGACTGGCATCCTTATGAAAAGGAGACAGTTGGACACAGACATATCGAGCAAAGACATAAAAACACAGGAAGAAGGCTGAGGAGAGAGGCCTGAACCAGATCCTCCCTCACCGTCCTTGGAAGGGACCAGTCCTGCTGACACCTTGATTCTGGATTTTTCTCCTCCAGAACTGAGACAATCCATGTCTGTTGTTTAAGCCGCCCGGTCTGCAGTGCTTTGTTATAGCAACCCCAGCAAACTAGTAGAGCAGCCATACAAATGAGCATGGTGGTGTCCTAATGAAACTTTATTTACAAAGTCAAGCAGCTGACCAGCGGCCATAGTTGCCCGATCTCTGACCTAAATAATCATTTTTAATGACTGATAAACGTTCATTTGAATGGACAAACTACAATTTATTTAAATAATTTTCTGTTGATGGACATATAAAGGTTATTTTTTATTATTTCTATTATAAGCAATGTAGTAATAAATATTTATGGATAAATCTTTCACATGCTCCTAACTATTTTCTTAGAAAACAATTCAAGAAATGGAATCCCTAGATCACTTGGTAGAATTTTAAAGACTATTCTGTTGCAATTTGTAACTATCAAGAACGTATAAAAGTGCAATTTGATTGGCAAAAGAAGTTATGTCATTAGTATCTTATTTTGCATTTCTTTATTTAGTTCATTTTTGGCATATTTATCATCAATGTATCTTCCTTCCTTTGCAAATTGTTATATCAAGGCCTTTGCTTGATAGTTCTTGAGGTGGAGGCATTTTCAAATAACTATTTTAATTTCCCTAACCTTTTACTAGTTATTGTCATACTTTCTTCTCAGTTTGTCTTTTAATTTTGTTTATGATATTTTTGGAGCAATATACAGATGCTTCCATTTTTTGTGTAGTTGAATCCATTAATTTTGTTTCATGTGATTTTTCACTCCTGTGATACATTTGTGTACAAATTGAATTTGAGTCTGAGACTGCTTCCTCCACAACCCCAAATCAATAATAATAATAACAACAGCAAAATTGAAAGATTTAATTCAATGAGGATTCAAATACAATGAGGAAACAACTGAAAGTGGAGTCAGTGTATAAGCCATTCCTTTTGCTATCTTATTGAAGACTTAGCCATCTCAGAGAGATAGCTAAGGGGATCATGTATATATATACACTTAGGGCTTTTATTTTTTTTATATACTGCATGTATCAAAGTGCTCACCAATTTACTATGGAATAATAAAAACATTTTCCCTGTAAATGTCCAGACTCTTTTAGCCACTATCACAACAGATGGGACGTGGGAAGAGGGAAATTTTAGCATTAATAAACACTAAAATACAAATAAGATACAGAATAGGTATATTTTGTGGGATTTTGTAAGAGCCTTGCTAGAAATCCTATTTCCAATTTAAGATTTGGAATCAAAAGGATCTTGAGCCCACATTATCAGTACTAATCACAGTAAAAGCTGAGGCAGGAGAGGGTCCTCTGCCCCTTTACCCCTTAGATTTCTTCCAGCCTTTGCTCCAGGAGAGGAGATCTTATAGCATAGCAGTGCATTTTTATGTACATTTTAAATTTTAGAATATATTTATATTTACAGAAAAGTTGCAAAGGTAATACAGAGAGCTCCAGGTTCCCTCACTAACTCCTACTTTGCTATGATACCTTTGTCTCATCTCAGGAACCAGGACTGACACACTATTACCACATGAAGGCCGTGCTCAATTCAGACATTCTTGGTGCTTCCCAGTGTTCCTTCCTCTGCTCCAGGATCCCACATCACATTGAGTTGGCGCATCTCCTTTGCAAGTCTGGGCTGTAACTGTTTCTCAGACTTGCTTTTTTTTCATGACCTGGACAGCTTTGAGGAGGACTGATCAGGTATTTTAGGCAATGTCCCTCAATTGGGTTTGTCTGTTGTTTTTCTCATAGTTAGACCAGGGTTATGTGTTTTGGGAAGAAGACCACAGAGATGAAGTACCATTTCAATCACTTTACTATTAATTAAATATC